CTATGATTGTTCCTATACACTACCTAAAAATTTATATTAATAAATAGGACATCTATTTCGGTAAACATGCTAAAAAACCGCGTTATTATCTGCGTTACAATATTTATACGTACCACCTGCTTTTGAGTCCTTGCTCAGGATGTTGAAAAATCAATCACATGCTTAATGCCGATGACGCGGTATGACGTTTTTGCATGATGCGAAATAAAATACATCCTAGATTATATTTATCGAGACTCAACCTCGTTGTGACTTGGCTAGATATCTAGTTATTAATAATTTTATAAGTGACTCATGCATGTCCAGAACTCAATCAGAGCGAAATCGGAAATTCTTGAGTGAGTGGCGATTGATTTTTTGACCACTCCTTTTCTGAGTCGTCGAAATTTCCCACCCGGAATTTTCATTATAAAGAGGTATATTGCATTCACCATGTAACAAACCAGTTAAATGCAGTATGAGAATTGACAAATCATTATGAGATACTCGTATGTCCTCACTTCCCAATTTCCTAACTGTGCGTTTTAACAATTTGATATTCATTCATTTACACGTAATTATATTACGTTCAGTAATGATACCTGCTTCTGTATCGATCTTTATGTAACCGTAGAATTCTCAATTAGCTACAATTTCAGTAAAAAATAAATAGAAGAAGTGAATACTGTTACGTAAATAATATATTTCGACAAAGTCTTAATCACTTTACCTTAAAAAGTTCACCAGCTGTTGAAATATTAAACCTAATCTATTTTCACCTATTTGAAGTTGTGTTGTTTAAATTAATTTTAAGACAATGTATGGTGTTCGTTAAGGGAACAAAGTTTTACAAGTACAAAGTAGGTACAATGTTTTTTAATCTATAAATAAAAATACTGTCACTTACAAATTCTCTCCTCTTTTTGAATTTCTATGTATTAAAAAATAAAGCTACTGTTACGTACAAAAATATAACATTTGTATTAAAAAGTTGGTAAAGCATTAATTATAAAACAAAAAGTAGGAGTATAATTTATTTTCTTTAACTTTGGCATCATAATTATTGTACTTTTCGATCCTGAGAAGTACCTATACTTATTTTGGCTCTTATGGCCCACTGAGCTTCTTCTGCGAACTACCTACCACTGACCTAAGACTTATAGAGAACAAAAAACAATCGATTTGAAAATTTCTCAAAAATATCCTTTAATTTTCATTTTGAGTAAAAGATTCCAACGTATACAAGCAAATGCAAATTGTCTCAAAAAATATTAGTAAACCACTTTTTTTTGCAAATATAACTAAAAATATAGTCAATATGTTTTAAATTGTCAATACAAAGATTCTGTATATCTGTTATTTACCGAGAACTCTTACATCATATTTATCGAAAGGCAATTTAGATGTTTATGAATCTCAAAAAAAAAAGATTCTGTTCAAGTTTGTATTTTTTTATATTCTTATTGTACGAGAAAGTAATTAAGTAGACCGGGTGACTAAAAAAACTAATCCTGTTTGAGCCCTGATTTCTACAGAACTCTTTGAGGTAGCGATTTCAATTTTTGGATTGTATTCTAATTGAAAATTATTTCTGCCAAATTATAATTATTTAAAAAAACTATAAAACGAGGAACTTTTTAATATCACCTAGAAAAAAACAATTACATGTTATAATTAATATTTGACGGGAATAGTTTTCAATCTATTGTTACTTAGAATGCAAAATTGCAATTATTCAAGAGATCTCAGAACTTACTCGGTATTCGTTTTTTTCTAGACCCCTAGACCCTATTGGAGCTTTGACACAATTCTTAAGTAGATATGTTTTGTACATTTTCTAAAGAATTGCATAAAAATAGAAATTCATTAATTGTAACTATTCACCAAGTTGAAACGAAAAGCGCTTGGACTGCGCACAATGCACACATGTGTGGTTTTTGGTTTAACGTCTTATTCGCAGGTCCGGAAGTTGTGTCTGTGTTTTCGCTTTAGTCTTTATTTTTAGTAAATACTAGTAAGCACATTACTCGCTCTAGGCGCTACAAACAAACCTGTTGTCAAATCCTATTTTACAGTATTCTATTGTACATAACAATTTTTTTAATACTTTTGTCTTTTACTGAAAGTTTCAAATGTAAAATTGTGAACTCCGGTAATTTTCAGAGGCTAGAAACGTCACTGATCCATCCGATGTACTCACATTATAAGACAGATGAGAGGCTGTCCATTTTTCGAGCTCTATCATGGGGATCACAGTTAATATAAGAGATACGAGGTAAGTTAAATTTGGGCAAAGTTGAGCGTTTTTATGTTAAACAATTATCTGAAACAAATTTAGTTTGTTAATTAAAATTGTTGGCGTTTTTTACAAAGCACTCTTCGCAAAAACACTTTTTCTTAATTTTGATCAGCATGTAAAATTTGATCATATCATGTGATACATCGTTATAATCAGGAACAAAAAGACTTTTCAAAAATTGAGTGTTATAACTCTGACATCAAGAACGCCTTGGAAAATACGATGACAGATTTAGATCCCTTGTAAAAAAGTGCCTTAAGAACGTCCTAGTTAAGAACGTCTACGTCTTTTAGACTTCGCTTATTAAATAAAAACGAAAATTCCAAATTTTTCCCATAATTCAAAAACTAAAAATGACACATTAAAATTTCTTTCAGATCTTTTTATTCAGCATAAAAATGCGCAACCTTGTATCTCTTATAATAACTGAAATCCCCATGGTGGAGCTCTAAAAACGGACACCCTGTATATCTACCATAGAGTATGTAATTAAAAATCTCCCCATTTTAACATAATCAAAATCATTTCTTTCTTAAGCTTTCTTAAGAATGATTTTACAAATATCGTCTTAGTACTTATTACTAATTAAAGTTATGAATCATTTTAATATTAACCAATTTACAGTTTACCTACTTTTTAAATTTGACAAGTATTCGATAAGTATTTATTTTTTCAAAATTGTCATTTGCCGAAGCGTTAGCCGAGGCAAATAAAACGCCTGAGTAATGAAAAATGACTTTGGTGGCGAGATGCATATAAAAAAGATTCCGATATCGGCGCAAATTTGGACAAAATTTGTGCAAAACTATTTTTGAAGGTTAAGTTTAGATCATGACAGTTTACAATTGCCAGTTTACTTCAAGGTCCAGTGTTATCGGATTTCTTGAATCATTAGTACCATCTCGTCCATAAACCACAAAATAACTATCCACCGAACAAAACCACGAAACAAGAAAAAAATATTTGTAAAAATAAAAACTATTATGTACTTACAAACAAACAAGTTGAAACCATTTTGAAAATGATATTTATTAAAATTGGACATTGGGCCGTATGAATTAAGTTAAGTTTTTTCTTACTTGTAATAGTAAGAAATACAACGAATTTTATTTTAGGAGAAAATAAGAGATAAAACTATAGTATATAGTTTATGTAGCTTTTGCTACACTTTATTCATACTACCCATTAGCTAAGCTTTTCAGATAAGAAAAATTATTTTCTTTCTTTTATTTTTAAGGTTTTATAAAACTCACAAGGCACAAGTTCCTGTGTACATAATAAAACATCTGTGAGAGAGGTAATTAGAATATTAATTTTTATTGTTTAACAAAACTTTAAATGTTTTTTTTAAGTATTAATTAGTAGGTATATTAAGCATCAAGTACCGTTCTTGTCCTTAATTTTTGTTAGTTTTTTTTAATAAAATATCTAAAAAATGTTTTAGAACGCCAGAATACTTTGGCGACGACTTTGAATGCTTACCGATGAGTTTGGGATAGCAACGAGTAAAATACAACTTACTGGCTTAGAAACAGACGTAGTAAATAATCGAATAGAATCTAAACGCGCAAAATTCTATGTATTAGCGTAATATGTAAAATTCTAAAAAAGTACAAGGTGATTCACGAGGAATAATGAGCCTGACCAAATTCTCGATGCAACCACCATTACTTTTCGCAAGTTATTTTGCGACAACTGTAATGTTGGTTGCATCGAGAATTTGGTCAGGCTCATTATTCCTCGTGAATCATCCTGTATATTAAAATACAAGTTGCAGAAGGTATCCATTCAAGCAAGAGTATAAAATTCCGATTCGAGCCGCGCAGCGGCGAGTTGATGGACGATTCTTTGAATGACTTTCGGTAACGACAATCAATCAATTTCTTTTATTTTGCGGTTTTTTTTAAATTTTTAATTTAAAGAATTTTCCGTCAATTGGTGATACATATGTAGTGTTATTCATCAAGACATTTTTCATGTCTGCCACAGGGAATTCTAAAAATTGGTAGGCATATTGAAAATAATTTTACTTACGGGATTATCACCAACATTAAAAACATAAAATACACTTGACTGTTAACGCACACTGAGAAGCTGCACCCAAACGAGGTCGTTAATAGCATTCTTAAAGACGCAAAATATAAAAATGAAATGTTTCTCAATTTAATTAGAATGATAATATTGTACAGTGTTTTCAAATAAATTTCTCGTCAATGTAGTCTGAAAGCATGGTACATATTTACAAAATGCCTTTTTTTTCTATTTACTAAAAACAAGATACCGGACGTCATTATAATAAAATGAAATATACATCCCTCCAATTATGTTTATAATTTTCAGAGTGAAACTTGAATAAAACTTGTTTAAAAGTCCTTTTTAGTTAGGGTCGGAAAATTGATAGTGAAAGTTTCTGAGTAAACCATTTTAATGATGCAACATAAAATTTAGTTAACAAGCCCCACAAATTTTCCAAGCACTGAGCACATTTGTGATTTCAATATATTGTAAAAGGTGCATTGTGTAAAATTTCAAACATTTTCCAACTACATTTACCACACTCGTAAAGGTAATGTTTGTTTTGAAATGTTAATTGGATTGTTCCTTGTACCTTCGGTTTGCATTTGTATGTGAGAGTTAAAATAAGCATGTAAAGTTTAGCTCGTGTCTACATACACACCATCATGTAACCACATTTAATCTTATTTAAGTTTGAAACCTTCAGGGTCTCCGGCACGTTTAATAAGTTTCCATTGGCGAGCCAGCCGAACGAAATTAAGTGAGCTCTGAGAACAACGTAAAAAAAAATCAGACTGTGAATTGGTATAGTGTTTTGGTGCGTTCGTATAGTAGCAATTCTGGCACCCCCGTTGTCGTTTGAGACACATTAATGTTGGAAACGGTGCTGGGAGTGCTGCTGTGGGCAGTTTCGCGATGTGGGATTCAATGGGAGCATGTATGTGATATCTCCGGCAGATGAAGTAGTCTGTCTGTCATATGGTCGAGTCATATACATCCCTTCGTCCCTGCCCACAAACCGTGTGACCAAACCGATTAGAACCTCCCTGTCGACCGGAAGTCACACGTCTTATCCCAGTGTCCCTTCAACGAGTACCAGTTCAACAAAGAGCCGACAATCAACTGCCAGCGAACCAGTCTTTAGCTTAAACAAAATAAAACCAACCAGTTCGTCGAAATCCCTAAACCAACCCTCTACCAGTCGTGAAAAGTCCCCAAACGAACCACCCCCGGTCAGACCGTCGAGAAAGAAAAAACTCAAAGTTGTCCTTGAATCAGCACGGAAACAGTCTTTTTCGGATTTCCTTTCGATCAGTAGGGAACGGACACCAAAATCTCCCGTTAACCAAACGCCGGAAAAATCGCCGACCTTTCAATTTTTCCGAGGAAAATCAGTCAGTCCAAAAAACCTAGGAAGAAACAGAACTGCTGTAGATTTTGATTTCCTTTTTAACCGCGAAGCCAGCCCAGGGAAGCTATCCGTCAAAAGCTTAAATAACGTAGACGAAACCGGTCCTAAATTGACCGGAAAACAGCGACTGACTCCAGGTGAAGGTTCTAGTGCCAACTAACACTGAATTTTTTGATCTGAATATTCCAATAACCGAGGAATTTATGCAGCTTTACCCGTATAGTTTGCGAAAAATTATGTGCAAACAGCGCTGAACCCTATATGCATGCAAATTTTGTATCGGATGTGTTTCTTTTAAAGAGATTTTCTTTTGCATAAACTAACATTTACGTCAATAACTTTCAAGGAAAGTGTAAGTAATGATTTTTTTAGAAAAGTCGTCGCCTACCAAGAAAAGAACGTTCTTTGGAAGCGTTCGCGTTAAGAGAACTCCTGAAGTCATCGAGAAGATGGCGGGATACGAATCGGCCTTGAAAGAACTGACACATGCAGGATACAACGAACACCTCAAATCTCACAATTCGGTCACGTTTAAATTGGTGCGAACTGGTGAGTATAGTTTTACTATAATTATTATACCAAGTCAAAGAGACTTTACAAAGTAGTTATTTCTAACTAAGTGGGCTGGAAGATAAGGAAAAGCAGATTTTAGTAAAATGATTACTTAAATGAGAGGGCATGTTAAAATCTAACCGAGAGTGAAGGCCGTAATAATTATGCGGGTGGATTATATTATTTTAGCCGCAAAATAATCCAAACCTTTGAAATCGAGAAATGGAAAAAATTTATTCTTGTCTTTCTCATACTTATAGGTATAATATACATAACTTGTGTGATAGCTTAAGTTACCTTACACTTGATCCTTCACAATAAAAATAAAAAGGGAATGAAATTTTGAACTAGTTTCAAACGGCTTTTCGTCTTCCACAACATGCTAGATTAGCAGTAATTTGCAGAAGAAGTATTGACCAATGATTTTATTGGTTTTTAATATTAAAGCAGGAGGACAATAAGCTAACCTTCCAGGTCTGATTTCCAAATATGATGTCAAAGTTAAATAAAGACAGATCTTTGAAGGTATTTATTTCCAAGACAAATAAATGAATTAAATAAAATAATTATACAGAGTATCCGGAAAAAAAAACGTTGAATAAGAAACAAAACTCTTTTGGACCTATGTCCGAAAATGTTTTTTAAATTATTTTTAGTAATCATGTTAGCTTTATTATTGTTATAATGGCTTTTTAGTTTTAATTAATTTATTTCTTATTTTTACAAAATATTTTCATTATTAAAATTGATTTCTTTTATTTACATATTTTCAAAATTGTTCGTTTTCGTGAAATCTAATTCTTCAGTTTGCCTAAAACATTTAGTCATAAATGATTTCAAAAAGATGATTTTTCGGACTATTTATAGAAGGCTTTATTGAGAGCCAAGCCAATATTTCATCAAAAAAAGAAAATTGACAGAATTCCATGCCTTGTTAGAAAAATATACGCTGTGTCCGTAAATGATTGAAGGATCAAGTTGGCTTTGCAATAATTTCAATTTCTAAATGTGCCGCTTTATATGTGACATGTGGCATCAGTTATAGATTTCAATGTTGTTTCTCTTAGAAAATAAAACGGCGGAAAAACTGTAATAAACGGTCCAAGGTAAAAAGGAATACTTAAGTGAAAGCGTGTTGTGAAAAGAAATCAAAATTTTTTTGTTTTTGGAAATGGGTAAATCGTGTGCGCGGCGCGGGAGTCCACTGTTTCAAAAAGATTTTTAATGAACACTTTTTAATCAAATTTGGTACGTCACAAAGTGTTGTTTAAAGCCCAAAGACCATTTACAAATGATTTGCAGATGTAAGATGTACGAAGTTAAACAGGTTAAACAACTGATAATGCATCGTTTCTTAAAGATCGCCCATTTGACCATCACTTCGTAATTACATATTTGAATAGTGTGGAAGAGAACATTTTTTGAATCAAAAGAAAAGCGGCGAATCCAATATAATTTAAGCCTGATTTCTCGTGTTAACCTTTTTGTGATAATTATTGTTAATAATGAGTTAAGTAAACACTAATATTGTTAGAATTTTAATAAAATAGTTACGAGGTGTTTATTTGTTCTTCTTGTCACGTTGTAGTTTTTGTTCTCAATCTGGAGCTGCAACAAAAGCAGTTAATTGAAAAATGCAGTAAATCTGAAATTTGTCACTGTCACATGTCAAATATTTTTTGTATTGTCAGTATTCAGTATCATATAAAGCGGCACCTTCAGAGGTTATTTCAAAGCCAAGATTGATCCTTCAATCATTTACGGACACTTTGTAGTTTTTGCAACACTAATTCCTTATACTGTTTCTATGGTACATTTAAGTTTTTAAGTTGCCGTTAATATACGCTCTTCTATAAAATACGTCGTGAATGAGAATGTATTTTCACAAATTTCTTATTTCTCAATTTAGTAAAATTTCTGATCCAATATTAGTGTTCGAAAAATTTTGAAGACAACAAGTTATAGGTATAGTTCAAAACTCTTGTTGTCTTAATAGCTATTATACGTTTTGCCATTATTTCGATCAAAATGATCCACAAAAACTTTATTTTTAAAATTATCAAATCTAGAAATTTTAAATAGTGATGCTAAAAGTAGGGTGTATTGAAATTTCAACCTACATTAAGTTTGTTATTTTATTCACAATCACATTTTCTTTAAATAATACAAATTGTAATAAAATATGTCTTTTTTAAAAGCATTGACTTAACTTGCATAGTTGTCTGTCTATCTGTCTGTCTGTCTGCACAAAATCTTGCGAGTCAAATTTGAGACAGAATAAACTGAAATTTCGCATACACACGTATGTAATTCCTATCACTATTAAATTCACCTCTCTGTTTTTAAATATTAACCAATAAATTAGCAGATATTTACTTTTGTATCCTAGCAATAGCAAATTCAAGCGAATATTCCACTCCTGTTAAAATATAACTGGATATTCCAGGAGTGATTGCAGTGAATATGTTAAATTAACCTGATTATTTATCGGTTGGTATGAAAATGAAATCGTGTATAACGCACATTTACCATTTGGTTCATGGATTAGTCTGTTGAATACAATTCATGCTTGGTGTTCATAAAGTGATGACCATTCCTAAAAATATTCAACAATTTTTGACTACTCGTTGTGTTATAACTGACAATACATCTGTATAATATTTATTTTTATTAATAATTTGGAAACAATTAACATTTGTTATAAATATCTCGCCCCCTAATTGAAATAAAAAGATAGAACCAACGCTATTCGATAGACCAGGAAAAAAACTAACGGGCTATGCGTAAATCAAAAAAAATTCAAAAATCGAAAAGTCAAAAATATTTAAAAATAAACAAAATCCAAAAATCAAGAAAATTCTTAAACTTAAACTTAAAAAATTCTTTCTTTCTGTCAGAAAAGAACATCGTTTACACCTTAAAATTTTAAAATTTATAAAAGCTTTGGAAGGGGTTACAACATTACGACTAATTTATAAATTTTAAAATCTTAAGGTGTAAGCCAATGTTCTTCTAGGACAGAAGAAAATTATTTGTTCCTTTTTAATAAATTTTTCTAATAAAAGCTTGTTCTCAAAAATATTTTTTTTTTGTATATTTTTTAACAGTGTTAATGTATGTTTGGTAATTTGAAGGCCTCTTATTGGAAGCCTTCTCACTTCTCACCCAAGAGATATAGAAGTGTAATCTGTCATTTTCCACCATGAAAATGTCATCGGAATCTTAGAATGACATATTTTTTTACTCCTAAAAGGTCAGGAATTGACATATTAACAACTTTATTTGATTCGTTGTAACAACTTTACCAACACACATACAAAGTCAAGAGTTGGTGTGAGAGGTTTTCACCTGCAATTTAGCACCAAAAGCGATCGAGATAGCGGCATTATGAGCTGTTAATATTGATTTAGGACGAGATAAACAAATTTGAGTAAATATTTGCGTATAATGCAATGAACAATTCTGTACAAACTTTTCCCTAAAAGAATCTAGAAATAGACGATTTAAACATGCTTATCGATTACCTACAGATTAACTCGGTTTATGCAAATGTGACAAAGGTGGAATAGGTCGAAAATGAACTCGAGCAGATTGTGAAGGATGGAGGAAACGTGGACGTGATACACCAAATAGAGTTCTCATCAAAAGATTTATTGCTTCGTAAGCTAAATGGTGGAGTATAAGAGGTCAATCTGTCGGGGTGCTATAGAGTAATATTTACGTACCGTTGAATGAATTAAGAGCGAATAAGCATGTCGTGCACTAGCTCTAAACTAATTTGCATTTGTACTTGTGGAGTTCTTGTTACGATGCTATAAATATACGCCAACGAAATTATTTTGATGTATTCCGGAGAATTGCACAAAATCAACTTAACTCAGAACGGGTTTCACTCCGTTTCATTTTAACAATCCCGTTCTTACGCTTCAGATATTAGAAATTACAAGATGTATCCACATGATCTCAAGTTCCCGAGGGAAACTAATCTGCGAAAAACACTATAAATTCAAAATGCTTTGTGATTAAGATTCGATAAACTTATAGATGCATACCTACCTTCGCCAAAAAGCATCAATTGTAAATTATTCATCCTCTATGAAGCACAAAATCACAGTCACTCGTTGTTAACGTGACCGGAAATATCTATGAAATCTTTACATACAAGAGCTTTTTACATTTCATTTGTATTCCACGCATAATTTTTGATTAAAAAAGCCATCAGTTTTTAAGATCGACATTAAAAGCCGGGTAGAGAGTGGGGCAAATGAGGAATACCTATACATACCGTGCGATCAAAAAAAAAATTAGAGTAAACGGTGATTAAAGTCCTTCAGATGGCAATCCTGATCCTTTGACAAGTTTGCGTTTTATTCATTTCGAATGAAATAATGTTCACTTTAGAGTAGAAAATTTTTATTGTTGCAAGTTATTACAAAAATGCTGTACAAGACGAAAACGGTGAAAGGTCATTTTTACTTCCAGTTTGTGTAGAAAATTTCCAGGCCAGATTCCCAGCCAATGTGTTGCCAACTATAGAATTTAATCGACGCCTACTCTAATTTATTTATTTTTTGATCGCACGGTACTGCTGGTCAAGTGATTAATAAATAAGACATCCAAAAAAGTGAATCTTTAATAGTTATTTATTATACAAGACGATAAAGAAATTGTTTATCTACGAATCTACGAGTGAAAAGGTTAAGTTTACGAGTGACGAAGTCACGAGTGTCCTTTTTTTCACGAGTAGATAAACAATCTTTATCGTCGTGTATAATATTTCGTTTTATTTTGTAAGCACCTACCAGAATTTTTTGAATATAAACAGTAGATAAAAATTACTTTATTTCACTAGACGATAAAAAACTACTTTATCTATTGAAATTAGTTGATAAAAGAACTCTTTAACATTGAGTACAAAATAAAATAAATTATATTTTAACTATGACTTTTATATACAATTTTGTTAATATGTTAACATTTAAAATATATCGCTATGT